TAATAGGTAAGTTATGTATAATTTAGAGTAGTTTAATTCTTAGTTTGTTAGAATTAAGGATTATAAGTTAGTTATAGTAATATAGCTTACTATTTTAGTTTTTATAGTTAGCTAGTGTTACCTTCTTTAACTAACTAGCGCTGTTTTAGAGCAGGTCTAAGGTTTCTTAGATAAATTTATTATTTAGATACTTATTAGTAATAATTTAATTAATTATCTAATTTATTTTATTTAAGTTAAGGTCTAAAAATAGCTTAAGTTAAAGTAAAGTTTAGTGTTAAGCCTTTTACACTTTTTTCTAAGTAGAGACATTTTAGAATTGCCTTATAAGAGCATCTAGTTTCCCTCTGTCTTAACTAGAATAATAAGTAATTTTAAAATTAAAATAAAATAAGTATTTAAACTAATAGGCTTATTAGTAGCTAAGTTATTTTATAGTTATAAAGTACTACAAGTTCTTATAGTTAGATAGGACCTGTATTAGATGCGCTGCACCTTCTAGTTTAGGTTGCTATTATTTAAAGCAGCGTACTATAGTAAGTAATTTCTTATTATAGATCTTATAATTGCCTTCTGCAGGACTTATTCTTTTTAAAAAGTATGCAATAGGCCTAATAGTCCTGTCTAGCTTAGTCTAGAAAAGAACTTCTGCTACTACATAGTCTAAGGCATTAGCTTCTACAAGTATTAGTAGTTTAAGGTTAAAGTAGTAGAGTATTAGAGCTTTAGTAAAGGCTTTCTTTAGCTAGTTAAAGGACTATTAGTAATTTAAGTTAAAGTTAAATTAAACCCTTTTCTTAGTAAGTGTAATTATAAGGCTTACTAGCTGTAAAAAGTTGTTAATAAATTATTAGTAAAAGTTAGTAAATCTTATAAAAGCTTAAACATCCTTTATGTTCTTTAGGTATTGCTAATGTAGCATAGTCTAAACCTTAACAAGGTCTATTTAGATGCTATCTGTAAAGATTACATATCCTAAATATGTAACCTTTAATTAGTAAAACTTGCATTTGTCTATATTAAGTTATAGACCTACTTCTTCTATAGCCTTTAGCACTAGGTGTACATGCTATTTATGCTCTAAAAAGCTATTACTATAGATTAAAATATTATTAATATACACAGTGCAGAACATGTCTAGGTAGGGTTAGAGTAAGTTGTTTACAAAATGTTAAAAAGTACTAGGCGCGTTAGCTAAGCTAAAGGGCATTACTAAGTACTTAAATAGTCTATATTAGGTCTAAAACACTATTAGCTACTTATTACCCTTTACTATCCTTAGCTTATTAAAGGCAGCAATAATATTTAACTTTATAAAATACTTTGCTTTACTTAGTTAGCTTAGGGTTTCCTGTAAAAAAGGAATTAAGTATTAGTTCTTAATAGTAACAGTGTTTAGTCTTTAGTAGTTAACATAGAATTAGAGCCTACCTTTAGGTTTCTTTATAAATAGTATAGGTAACACTACTAGTAAGGAGTTAGCTTAAATAAACTTTTTTTTTAGGTTCTTATTAAAGTATTTTTAGAGCACTTTTAATTTATTTAGCAACATCCTATATAGTAGCCTATAACTAGGTTGTTTACTAGGCTTAAGAGTTATTTAGTAATTATATAGACATTGTATTAAAAGCTTATTAGACTTGTCTTAGAAAAAAACATGTAACAAGTTATAGTAGTCTTAAGGGACTATTATCTTTAAGTTAGTATGTTTTTAGGAAGCTAAAGCTTAGTCTATATTAGAAATTATAACTGTGTAGATTTTATAATCTAGTTATTAAGCTAGAGTTATAAACAGGGCAGGTTCTATGTAGCAGATGTCTATCTACTGTTTAAGTCCTAGTTTATGTCTAAATTAAGTAAGTAAAAGTTCCTTAAAGGCTTCCTTTTTTTTAAGTTTAGGTAGTTATTAAATTATTTTATATAGCCTATTTTAGTAAAAGGCCTAGCTTATTAGCCTTACTTAGGTAGTTCTTTTCTAGGTTATTAAAGAGTAAGTCTAAAGACCTTCTATATTAAGTGCTATTTAGGTGTTGTTTAAGTGTAAGCATAAGTATACATCTTAGCATTAAAAAGAGTTAAAGTTTAGAACTTACTCTTAGTAATTAAAGGCAACCTTATGCTAATATAGCTATAGTTATCCTAGAATTAGGTTATAACATCTTATGTTAGTTACATAAAGCTTAATCTACTCCTTATAGTGTTAGTAGGTAATTATAATAGTTATAGTATAAAAGATAGAACTTTTTTTAAGTTATTTTTTATTAAATCTAGTTAGGTAAATTATTTAGGTAAGTAGTATTAATTAAAAATTTAGTTTACACGCTAGTTCTTTATTAATATAACTTATACTGTTTGCTTCTAAGTTAATAAAAGCTTATATTAGAGCTAATATAGTTTCTTATTATAAACATATAGAAATATTAACTTAGTACTTCTAGTTATTAGTAGAGGACTTAGCCTATAAGTTAGCAGAGATCTAGTGTTAAATTAGTCCTAAGGGGCAACTTAGCCCTAGGACAAGCCTTTTTGCAGGCTTCTACTGCTATAGCTGCAGCTATGTTAAGAGTAGTAAAGGAGATTAGGGCTTAAATATAAGTTAAAGCTTTTACAGAAATAAAATTAAAATAGTAAGGATCTTTAATAAGTGCTAGCAGCGCTACTTGCGCAGACTTAAAAAAGGAGAATAAAGCAGTTTTAAAAAATATAACTATGCTTACTACACTTAAAGCATTAACTTTTCTTTTTATAATCTTTACACTTTCTAGAACTAACTAAAGCATAATTTAAATTAATTTTTATTATGTTAGGGTTTTTATTTGCAACTACGCTAGTTTAGGGGCGTATTAGGGCTTGTATAGGGAGGAACTTTATGTTATTATTATAGGTAGCAATTAAGTTTACATACACATTAAGGTTGTTTAGAAGGGGTTCTTCTACTATAGCGTGTTACAGTTTAGTTAAGAGGAAGTTATGTAAGGCTGTAATTAGACCTATCTTATTTAGGCTTATATTAGATGTAAGTTAGCAGAACTTAGTAAAGTGTAAAGTAAAGCTTTTTCTTTTTTATTATAAAGTGTTTAAGTAACTTAGGGCTGTTAACTTTTTATTTAGGTCTTTATAAGTTACTTACAGAAACACTATAAATTAATCTAAGTTAATAATATCTTTATTTATTAGTAAGTTAATTAAGGCTGTTATATTATAGTTAAGTTAAGAGTAAGCATATAGTAACTAAAAGTGTTTAGAGAAAAATTAGTCTATGTTTTCTTTAAGTTTATATTAGAGCTTATGTAAGAAAAAAAGTAAGTCTTTCTATTTTTTATTAAACAGCAAGGGATTAGAGAGTTAGTTAGATTTTATTACTAAGTTAAAAAAGTTACAGGTTATAAGTAGCGTTAGGCAGAAAAGAGTTAAGCTATCTCTAGACTTCTAGGTAAGCTTTAAGGCTAGTAAGTTTTTAGTTCCTACTACTATAACAGAAGTTAAGGCAGAAACAGACTACTTAATAATATAAAGCTATTCTTTAAAGTTTTTTTAAAAAGCTTTAAAGCTTATAATGTAGCAGCTTTTTTATAAAGTAAGCGCTTTTTAAAAGGCTTTTTAGCTTACTTTAATAGCTTAAAGTTATGCAAGTACTAAGCTTATTAAATTAGATTTAAAGGCTATTCTTAGCTAGAGTTTTAACATAATGTAATGTTATAATTATGCATAAGTAAGGTTATAGAGCTTTACAAAGGTCTAGTTTAATTACTATGTAAGGTATTATAGTAAGTACAAGATGTTATGTAAGGAATAGAAAGGTTTAGAAGGAAGTTAGTAATTAAATACTTAGCTTAAAAGTCTAAGCGCTTTAGGTATAAATTAAGCCTGTTTTAGGTTTAGTTAGTGTTAAAGCAGTTTATGCTTAAGTTTATGTCTGTGTTGTGTTATGTTTGTGTTAGACGTGCACTAATAATACTCTAGTACGCGTCTAATACAGTTATGTCTGGGATCTGGGGAGGATACCGTGACACTTTGTTACAGTTATGTTACAGCTATCTAACCCCTAAGTACCCTAAGGGCTTTGCATAGAGTATATAGGCTCCTTAGCCTCTGTACCTCTGCCTTTAACCCTAAGGTTTACTCTCTCTTGTTACCCCCCTATCCTGCATTCCCTCTCTGTAGCCTGTGTTTTCTGCTTAATACCTCTTACATCCTCCTCTTTGCACTTTGCGATCTCTAGCGTTGTGTAATAAGGTAGACGCTCTGCCTGCTAAGCTAATACTATGCAACTTTCCCTACTGTACTAAAAGGTACACATAAGAATACTTAAGCTAAGTATTCTTACATAGTATAATATATATATAGATAATGCTAGGGCTAGCACTAGCACTAGTAGTTGTCTCTAGTCTAGCCTAAACCTCTATAAGCGAGAGAAGGCTACGTGGTTAACTATGCCTACCTTATTACATGTTGCGCCTGTTCCTTTCACCGCCTAATACTGCTACACTATGCCTAATACTGCTACCTAATATCTTTAATTTAATTGTTTTAGCATTAAAGCTCTAGTTATAGAGCTGCAGCTTGTGTAGTTTGTTGTCTTTGCAGAAATTTCTTAGAGTGCTAGAGAGCTCTAGCGCTGCCTCTGCCTCTGCCTCTCTATTGCTGCAAAGATTAATGTAGTACATGTAATACCTTAATAAGCTATTTTACTTGCACAACTACTAGTTTAGCTTCTTTAACTACTGTTTAAATATAATAGGCTAATGCCTAGAGGTGTTAGTAAGAGATTACCTGCTAGTGTTAAGAAATGCATAAAGTAAATTACAGCAAATTATAGCAAACTATAGTAAATTGCAGCAAACTACAGCAAATTACAGCAAACTACAGTAAACTACAGCAAACTATAGCAAACTATAGTAAATTACAGTAAACTACAGTAGATTATAGCAGCAGGTAGCAATCACTAGTAGATATTAGTTGTGTTACAAGTAGCTCTATGTATAGAGAGGGTTATAGAGGGGTAATGTCTCTAGAAAAAAAGCCTTAAAAAGGGTAGCAATAATTGTGCATAAGCTAGTTTAACATAATAGGAAATTACTAAGCTTTAAGCAGCTAATAAGGCAGCTACATTTAGAAAGGCCTGCGCTTAACAGCTCTAAAGGAGGTTAGGGCGCGCAGTGACAGAAAGAAGGTAAAGAAGCAAGTGTAAGCTAAAGTAGGTAAGCAATTCTAAAGGCGCTGCAGACAGTGCAATTAGACTAGGCATAACGCGCAAACGTGTAAGCAAGAAGTAGAAGTAGTATCTAAATAATATTCTAAGCTGTACTTTACTCTATAGTGCTAGAGCAGGTTGTTATAAGCTTGTTAGATTAAAGCACTGTTTCTAGGCTTCCTAAGATATATGATGGGTTTTAGATATAATGTATAGGATGATAATTAATTGTATTAATTAATTAATGTTTCTTTATTTTTTGTCTGCTCTCTTTGTGTTGCTTGGCTTTTGTTTTCTGGTCTAAGTCCCTCGCGCACTAGCCCTATGCGCGACTAGCTTGCCACATGCTGCAATTTGTTGCAAAATGCTATAACTGTAATGGCGCAGGCAAGACAATGGGTCCGAATGCGGTATGAATCCACTCAGAGGCATATGGGAGTGCGTGGGGACTCAGAGACCTAGGAATACCAATGACACCTATAGGCCTTGTACGTAGGATATCAGAAAACTACCGAGCTAGCTACAGGGGCGAGGTGCGACTAAATACATAAGGGAATAGGGGTAACAGCAGGGGTCGGGGCCAGGTCGAGGTCGGGGCCGATACAAGGGCCTTCTGGAGGTTCTGGGCGACTTAAGATAGAACAATTTATAAGGATTGTTACACTACCCCCCCTTTTTATAGACTAATAGTCCCTATCTATAGTGTTTAGAAAGTATTTAGAAATGCTTTAAAACTAATTTAAATAGGATATAATAATTATAACTATCTTAACTAAAATTTCCTGTTACTAAGAAATAGACTAAAAACCTAATACTAATATAATGCCTTTATTATAATGTTTTTGTATAGTAGTAACTAGCAGTGTAGTTGTTATTAATATAGCAAATTTATTATTTATAGTAATAAGTGTTTGCTTGCCTTACTTATATAGTCTAGTTAATGTTATTAGTTTTTTTTTTAGCTATTATCTAAATTTCTACTTTGTAAGTATTATTATGCACCTAACATTTTATAGCTTAGTCTGCTAACTAATTATAGCATTAAAGAAAATTACTATGCTGCTCTACCCCCCTCCTAGAGCCTCTTTAGAGGCGTTTTAAGTTATCTGCCTTTAGGCTGCCTACGCCCTAGCTTATAGCTTTTAGGTTAAGTTCTCTTTTTAGTCCTTTAAATTAAGAAATGCAAGTATTACACTTTACATAATAAAAAATGCAACTCTATATAAATATAGTCTAATACAGCTAGAGTATAGTTTACTAACGCGCGCGTAGGTTCTCTTATATTATAAGAAGAAATTTCTAGTCCTTTAAGGCTAACTTAAGCTATAGGCGGCAGCCTAAAATGTAGGGAGTAAAGAGGATAAGAAGAGGGCCTTTAAAGCTATTTTAAAGTCTGCTTAGAACTTAGCGTAAGTAGTGTAGGTTATAAAAAGTGTCGCGTATACTGAGAGCCTTGGCTGGGGCTCGGAGCCTGGGACTGGGGGCTCAGAGCCTGGGACGCAGCTCGGGATCTGGAGATATTATGTTCTGAAGCTTAGTGTATATAAGGAGAGCCTTTAGCTCTCTTAGATAGCAGAGTCACTTCATCTAATCTTCTAAACAGCTACTGCTAGGCTATTTTATTCTCTACAGTTATAGGCCTAGCGCTTTAAGAACCTAAGATAATTCTCCCTACGTAACTATAGCGCTAGCAAAAGCTGTTTAGAAGCTCTTTTTCTTATCTTTATTAATCTTTATTACCTCTAAAGCCTATGTTATGGCTAATTAAGATGCTCCTCTCCTAACAGGAGCATACTAGCTTAAGGATTATGCAAGCTAGCCTCTCTAGTTTATCTAGCTCTAGTTCTATGCTCTTAGCAAAAACCTATAGGACATAATTAATCTAGATAGACTAGACGCTCTAAATCCTATAGACAGCGCTCTAGAGATGCCCACACTTAGAGCAATCACTGCTAAGAACCCACTAGAGAAGGCTAACATACAGTACTAGACTAATATTGCTAAGTACTAAGCTTACTTAAGCAACTAGGCTTCCTGCGCGACGCGTCTTCAGACAATCTAGAACTAGGTTAATGCAACTGTTGCACTAGAGCTCCTAAGACCCACAATAATGCAGCTTGTGTTAGAGAACTAATCCACCCTACAGGCACTTGTACAAGCCTTAAAACAAGAGCTAGCACTAACAGACATAAGCATAAAGAATCTTATATAAGCAGAGTACAGAGCTTACTTTACTAAGGTAAAGCATAGCACTATAACCCTAGAAGCTTAGTACTAGCAGTAGCACTTCCTGTACACTAAGGCAAGGACCTACAAGATTCTTAATGTAGAAGGCCAGCTTGCCGCACAAGACTTCCTAGACGCCCTAGCTCTAAAGCTCACACTAGACTGGGCGCGCTCTATGCACTAGAGGGTTATAGAGGCTAGCGCACTTAGCAAAGAACCTCTAACAATCTAGAAAATTAGCAAGATCTTCTTAATAATGCTCTAGAAGCACTCCCTGCGCGTAAGCAACTAAGGCACAGGTATATTTACAACACTTAGCAGATAATTAGACAATAATTTAGCCTAATCTGTTTTAGCCTAATTAGGCCACTTGTGCCTATGCAGAGCTCTAGGGCAATCCTTTTATCTATAGAAAGCAGCAGACTGCAGAGACCTTACATTAGCAGTTACTAGAAAGCTAAAGAAGCTTAGTAAAACTACATATTAGAAGATTCTTAAGAGGCTTAAGTAGGCGCAGCATAAAAAAGTAAAGGCTGTACTGCTTAAAAAAGGCTATGTAATTCTAAACGCAGCCTCCCCTGCTCTAAAAGCTATTAAAGAATTAGATAAGCTAGCATTCCTAGGAAGTATTGTTGCCGCACTTATTAACCTAGCGCTCCTAGTAAAACTAAAGATGCACGCGACTATAGATTTTAACACTTACCCACTCTCTATAAGCACAATTCTAGATAATAAGAGTGCTACGCACTTAGTAAACAGTATAGAGCTGCTTATACCTAGGTTATTTAGGAAAGCTTAAGGTTTACACACAGTAGAAGCTAGCACTTAGTTGTTCCTAATCTAGGGAACAGGAACTAGAAAGCTTAGAGGGGTGTTAAATAGAGCATAAAGAGAGCGCACAGAAGATCTTACGCTACAGGAGGTGGTTATAGTAAAAGAATTTTACGTTAATATTATCTTAGAAGCTTGTTTAAGAGAAAAAAGACTATAGTATTTAGGACTTAACTATACACTACGCATAAGCACGCTAGAAAAGAATAGAGTACTTACAACCCTCTGCTAAAAACACAACCTTATGTTTGTTAAATATAAAGCTGTCTCTTTCTACCCACTAGTGCAGAGTGTGCTCCTAGATTGCTAACGCTTATAGACCACATTCCCACGCTTAGACTTAGAAGAGCTCTAGCATGCGCGCGCAGGACACCTAGGCTCTAAAGCTCTGCGGGCTCTGGTCAAAAGCGCAAGGAACGTACAAATAACAGGTACAGAGCAAGTACGCTGTGAGCACTGCGCAACAACACACGCTAAGCAGGTTATATTAAGAAGACTAAAAGAGCAAGCTCCCTGCCTATTCTAGAGAATTGCATAGGACATGTTTAATATGCCACTAGGGCGCAGCAGAGCTCTATAGATAATAATTATTAAGAATAAATATAGCAGCAAAATCTTTTTATACTCTCTTTAGGCAAAAACGCTCTTAGAAATCTAGAGAGTAATAAAGAACTTTAAGAGCATAGTGTCTAATTAATACAAGCTCTAGATTAGCAAAATATAGCAAGATAACAACACTGCCACGCTCCCTTAGCATAGGAAGTTAAGGTATAAGCTCTAGGTAAAGGAATCTAGCATTAATATTAAGAGCTCTCTACTATACACTTATAAGCTAAATAGAGCTGCAGAAAGAGCTAAATAAGAGATAATTACAAAGTCTATTAAAATAAGGAGCAGCGCAGGACTCCTTAAGAAGCTCTAGCCAGAAGTAGTAGACGCAGCAACATAGCTGTATAATATAAGCCTGTTGCACGCACATAACCTACGCTTACTAAATAAAGTCTTAGACGCGTAGTTTACTAACTACTTTAGATACTACAAGCTAGAGCAGGTAAAGAGTGCTACAGCTAATCTAAGACCTAATTAAAGCAGGATCTACGCATACAGCTGTCGCGCCTACCCACTTAATAGGGAGTGAGCAGCTAGGCGTTAGAAGCAAAGCTTTAAAGTGACTCTACAGGGCCACATAGGATATCTTATAGGCTACAGAGCCTTAAATATCTATAAAATATAGGTCCTGTTGCTTAACTAGGTAATTACTACAAAAAACATAGCTTTTAATAAGACACACTTTTATAAAAATAAAGGTAATAAGCTAATCCCCTAGGAAGAAGCCTTTAAAATTATTAAAATTCTTAATAAGTAAAGTAAGATTTATAATGCAAAAGAAGCCTTTAAGCTTTTACTTTAAAAGTTAAATAAGCAGCAAAGTAATATACTAAATTAAAGGCCCTAAGAGCGTAAGCTTAGAGGTGCAGAAACTAAAAAGCTTATTAGAACTCTAGTTAGCTAGCTAGAGGATTAGCACTTAGAGGTAGAAGCAACTGCGCAGGTAACAAGCATAACAAGCAAGTTGCTAAGGATTCACGCAGTTCCTAATAAATGTATAGCACTTATTACCCTAGAGCTGACTCCTAAGCCAGAGCTTGCAGATAGCTCTACAACACGCTCTATACAGGGTAGGCACAAGCATACTAGTGATCCCTAGCAAGTGCACTTAACTAGAGAAGTAGATCTACTAGGCTTGTTAAGTTAAACAGCTAACTTGCTAGTTAAAAAATTAACCCCTACCTCTTGCGCTAAGACATTATCTTCTATAGCTCTAGTTAAAGTAAGTAAGGCACCTCTTAAACATGCGTACAATAAAAAGAGCTAGGGACTAGCCACACACATAAGCTAAAGAATACAGAGGCAAGATCCTAATAACCTAGGTAAGCCTAGGGGTGCAGAAAGCAGAGGTATATATACAACACTCTTAGAGAGGAGCAGCATACGCCTAGCTCTAGTTAATCTAGAGCACCTTTAAATAAACTTCCTTAAAGCATTTATTGCTTATAACAATAGAGCGCTTAAAACACTCTATGTAGTGTTTTCTATAGCTGCCTTTTTTAGGCAGCCTTAACTAAGAGCTTATAAGCTCCTAAAGGAACTCTTAAAATAAAGAGATCTACATAAACACCTATACAGAGATCTTTTTAAGATTGCAGCATAAAAAGAGATAGCTACCCTGCTTAAAAAAGGCACTTAGAAAGAGATTATGCAATCTAAAGCAATATTTAAGCTGCTCCTACTAAAGTAGGTATTTACGTACAAATTTAACTAGGATAGGTATTTTGCTAAATGCAAAGCTTGCATTTGCGTACGCAGTAATCTCTAGAGCAAGGACTTGCTCTAGTTAACCTATGCTGCCACTCTTATAGCTAGATCCTTCTA